TATTTTCAAATTAGTGTAAAAGAAAAAAAGGAGTTTTTAATTCGGGGGCTTCTTCTCCTTTTCTATTAAATTGGGATTTCTCCACTACTGGAAACAAGGATTCTTCGAGCTCAACTAATGAAAAACAATCAATTTGAAGGAAGAAGTATGGGAAGTCCTAAATTAAAAAAATCCCTCATTTCTTTTACCGTAATTTGAAAATCCCTCCTTCCAATGGGTTGAATGAGGTCAACTATGGTTACCACATCATCATAAAAATTCCACCTAAATACGCATGACAGATTACCTCAGTGGTCGCTAGAAAAATAGCCGAAATTTTGTTTTTGGGTCTATTTATCTCATTGTGCAAGTTTAAATTCCTTGTTGTAAGCAGAGATAATTTTAATACTAATTTGGTTATTAGGTACTATTTTTAATACCAATCTACTAATTTAGTCTTTAAAAATATCTACAAGTTGAATGCTAAAATAACCAAAATTGAATATAGGTAAATTTCACAGAAACCTTATTAAGTTGAAGTGTTTAATCCTTAGTATCTTTAAAACTCTCAGTAAACCCCAATAGTTTTTGGCAGAAAGTTCTCAAAATTAACATTGTCAGTACATGTGTAGTCAAATGGTCAAAATGTATTCCCTTGCCCATGCTCACATGGGTGGGGCTTACATGTAGAAAAGGAATATAGAGCATGGGTGGGGCTTACATGTAGAAAAGGAATATAGAGCCAGTAGTAGGAATCGAACCCAGCTTGGATGGTGAGGGGTTAGATTTTTTTTAATATCTGATTTGCTTGGGTTATACGGTTACTCCTTTGGTCATATGTTTGCATTTCTAAATCGAAATGCATTGAAGTTTTTTTCTTTGGACTCCTGCTTCTTATATATATATATATATTCTATTTTATAAAAGAAGTTAAAAAATAAAAGGGTGTGGATGATATTTATTTCAAAATTTGAAATTTAGGAGTAGATAGCTTGAGAACTCAAATATAATATCCCTCTCTTATTAGATTAACTCCTAATCATAGTCATGATGGATTTATGAACTCAAATCCCAATCTTTTTAGGGACCTTTGCTCTTAACTATTATAGGTGTAAAAAATGGCTATAGGTTCCAAACACAACTCAAGACGAAGAGAAGATAAAAAATGTCATCATCTAAGTCAGGGGAGATCATCCGATGTAAAGGGAAGCAAAGGAGCATGCAAAATGGCAAATTGATGGGACTCGGAGCTGTCTCACAATCGGGGAGACAACATACACTAGCTCATGCATCCGAGAGAGTGTTT